TATTAGTGATATCCGTAATATTTTAGTCTTACATACGATATTAAAGTATAATTTTTTTTCTATGTTCCTGAATTTTAATAAAATAAAAATATTTCAGAGGCCAAATAATATCAAAGCATTAAGCAATCCAAGCAGGTAAACAAAAAGATATGGATCAAAGATATGGATCATACTAATATCACGTATACATCCACCTAAAATAAGATATATTAGTATTGGAGATCAATTTTCCCAGTGTGATTCATTTTCGTGTATCGCAATAAGAAGTGATTTCTGCAAAGCTCTAGGTAGTGCCCAATATGATATATATTGCCTAGAAAATCATCTATTATAGTTTCAGGCGCGTCGGAAGTTGGCATTCCTAGCTCCATATAGCTTTAAATGTAGAGAAAAAAATAGCTTTTTTTGTGCATTTCTCTTCTGAGACTTTGAATGTTGTGCTCCAATTTTAACACGTATAATTAAGCTGATAATCCACGTTTAAATCTCTGTAGAGTAAATAATAGAGTTTTGCCATATCTGCAATAATTATTTGGTGATTTGAACCAAATGATTTTATATGTCTTTGCAGTTGAGTTGTCATCACATTGTCTCTATGTTATTCACATGAATGCATGTTTTAGCTTCAATATGAGGAATCTTATGAAATAAGGAACTTACAGATTATACAGAAAAATGCATCCTCAAACGGAGGTGGGACCCAACTCTCAGTATTGTTGTCAGATGATGCTACAACTAGAAGCTTCACTAAGATGGTTGCTTTTGTCATCAGTCTTCTTGTCTGATGTCAGAGTCGAAACTATCTTGACATGTTCTCCCGCTGTAGCCAATTTCAACCATCTTTGTTGCTTTAAATTGTACAATGACATGTGCACATAATTTGAAAGTGTGAATGAAGTTGGAAATTCACGTGACACCTCCCACCGAAGATGATACGTAAGGATCTCGTGCACCTTGTTGTCTTGTGTCGTTGAATGACATGTACGACATATACTCCACCGAAGATGAGAGGGGTATTATTGAAGAGGTTGCGTCTGACCATGACCAACTTTCTACCAATTTGTTCCGACAGATTTTGTATGTTCTCATAGACTGCGATAGATTGGGTCGATATGTACGTGTACATGAAGCAAGCATGGATTCCGAGTATTTTCACATACTAAAAAGAATAATTATATATATATATATATATATATATATCAAAGATATGTTTCCTATCCGTAATTAATATATGGATATTGTCATCTTACCCCTTTCACATCCATACCCAATCGACTTGGCGTACACATCCATGAATGTACATAGTACATGCTGTACATGTACAACATGTGCACAAGTGGTTACTTATGCAAAAAACAAAGAGTCTTGCTAACAAAGACTTGCTACATACAAACTCTAATCAAAACTGCACTTCGCGTACGTCTTTGTCCAAACAAAGATAAAAACGTAGCACTACTCATCAGATGATAATAACATATTACTAGTCATATTATAGATGACTATCCTGACAAATGTTTCTCGCTTTTAGCCACTAGCATATCTAGATAGTGGGCAAGATCATTTCAGGTTTAAGAATGCTTGGTGGTAATAATGAGGCATTTGGCCAGTCCAAACGACGGTAAATTAATTAGAGCAAGAACAAGTATGTTTCAAATACAATTGGGGGAAATATATATTTGCGAACAAAGACGATTATGACCTCTATCCACATGAGATAAATATTAGGCAGTTTTTCTACTTCGAAGGCTTATATGGCTGAAGTCAAGCATGAACCTCCATAAGCATATCAAATTTGCTACACATCTTTATTTCTTTGAAGTCATCGTTTTTGATGGGCGATAAATCCTAAATCTTACCGAGAGTTTTGGTTCAAGATAGAAGTAATAATTATGAAAAGAAAAAAATTTAATTTTTGTAATTACTGAAAATCAGTTTAGCCCCTCTAAATTAGATTCTAAATTTTCTCACATGCAATCATGAAATTAATTACAAAATTTATGATATATTGCGAGAGAAATTTACCATAATACTTGCAAGAGCAGAAGATATGCTAACAAAAAAGAGTTGGTCCAACAGCTAATTATTTCATTATTGAAAATATATTTAAAGGAAATAATATTAAAAAATAACATTTATTTTTTATGCAAACAGCACAAAATTAATTTTTTTCCGAATTTTCCAAATGATAGTTTTGAAATTTTCAAAACTTAAAATTTATTGTATGTCAAGTATGAAAATTTGTCACTTTTTTAGATTACATGTTCTATTGCAAGTAAAAGTTGCTCAAACAATGAAACAAAAGTCTTTATCGTGAAACATATAATATACGCTGGCAACTACACAGTATGAAAACATATTCGATACATGTATAGTTATATGATATTAAGATCAATATAAAAGTGCTTTTGTGTGTAGTGATGTTGTCATAACATGCCTTGTAATGAGTTTAGTTTATTGAGATTGACTAGTCAGTGATGTTAGAGTTGAATTGTGGATTGCAAAAAACGGATTCATTCTAATTAAAACATGAGTTAAATTGAAAATGACTCAAATTTAAGATTATTTTTTAAGTCTTCATAAGCTCCAAAGTGTTATGAATGCAGCAAATAATAACATGAAACAAATGACTTGCTAGTTCAAGTTTGTGAATAAAATTTCTTATACTATAGAATATAAGTATAAGTGAAGTTTATATACTAGCTACATACAAAAAAAAATTGTTACTGTATCTATTTGGCTTTCGATGTGCAATATAATTCGTCATTTTTCCCAAAAAGAGTAATTTGTTTGTTCTGCAATTTTTCTAAACAAAAAATCATTTGTTTATCATTTGTTTAGAAAAATTGCAGAAGTCTCTGCTTGCTTGCGAGTATGGCTTTTGCAGAGGAGAGTTAGAGTTTCAGGTAGATGTTGAAGGAAATTAACTGTCACAAGAAGAGAAAGAGATTGTGAGGTTGCTGATTCCGAATATTGAAAAAAAGATGCCCTCTCATTTAGAAGAGTTCATGACAAAATACTCTTTATATTTCATACACAAAAGTTTCTTCGAAAAAGTTCAAACGTTTGACCGTAGAGTTTAATTGTGGATTTTTATGTTGCTGTGAGTTAACCTCTTCGGGTTTTTAATTTTTATCATGATTATTTTTAGTTTTTGTGGGTAGCTAAAATTCCATCACAAAAACTTTATGACCCTTACTAAGTGAGATCTCCACTCTTGGCCAAACTTCATAGATAGTTGCATGCATCTGTGAATTTTTTGTAGTGCTTTCAACAAAAAATTGTAGTAGTTTTCAGATTCTTGATATATCATCACAATTCTTGAATCATTTAATGTGGTAATATGCAGATGCACATATAAAATTTCCAATATTAGAACATAAGCGTAGATTGATAATAATACAAGTTATTCAGCTATGAGCTGAGCGGTTGATTTAGGCCCAAGAGAATTTCTTGTGATAAACTACCTCGACTCCGGCTTGTAGAGGGGCGTTCCCACTTATAGTAAAGAAGTTTTGTTAACCATTTTGCTTTATACTATAGGCACAAGTGCATGTGTTTGGATCATTCTTCAGGATGCACTATCTTGAGTGCAAAAATATGCTTAACTTGCTTAACTTGTCATGTACTTCTAGTTCTCTTGTAAAAAGACTTTCACGACATATTCATAGCAATTGGGACAATTTGTGTGGAGTTAGAGTAAACCAATATGAGAGCTGTTTGTTGGAAATGTTTTAGATCACCAAGCACAATCCACTTTCCTATATTTCTTGTCAATGAAGAGTATATTTGGAACATAAAAATCTATCAAAGTGGCAGGAAGAAAAAACCAAAAATGTGTTTACGAATTTATGTTTTACTTATTGTTTTCTATTAGGTTCTAATGAAAGTCTATGTTGATTTCATTTTATGTTTACTTATACCATGTATTCAGGAAATGAATATTAAGTGAGCAGAATAACAACACTAAATCTTATCCAAATCTTATCTTTGTACTCAAAGGCGGTATATATAGCACGTCATACGGAAATATAAGCACAATTATTCGTTACCACTAATAGAGCAATTTTCAGTCACACAGTTCGGTCTTCACGGATGCTACTTTGCTATAAAATTACCATCACAAAGCAGTCACGATAGGTTAAAGGTAGTTGATTTGTGCAAAGGGGCAAATCTTCACTAACAGGTTCCATCTTGACTTCTTTTCTAACGACGGAACTTCATTCTATATTTTCAATCCAGAGTGTGAATAAAGACTTATGTTTCCAATCACGTGCTCACCAAGGCCCAGAGAAAGTTCTTCTCAGTACGAGGAGAAAATTCTTCCAGGTACAAACGTACCAGCAAGTGTTAGCGATGTGTTTACAGAAATACTTAAAACAATCATGTAATCACAGTACAGCGCTAGAGGACATTCTTTTTCGTTTCTTGGTGAGGTTGATCCGTGAGCTGTACATGCCTCTTGCATCGCCATGCCAAGATGCCCGTTATCTTCCTAATGTACAGTGTTGTGGGAAGCACTTCAAGCGTGGAAATTCTAGTACATGATGTACGAGCAAATGTTCCGCTGTTTTGTTGTCTTCGGATTACTTTGATGCACATCGCTAAGCGTAAACTACCGATCTTCCATGAGGTACTTAAAACCGATATAGTTTAATTAGAAAATTGTCTCTAAGACCAGGAGTTGATTTGCTTTTACTTCGCGTCTTTTCAAAGTATAACCCCCAGTTGCAACTGAGAAGAATAAATCTTGAAATTGTCATGGATCTGCTCGTTTCTCTGCTTATAGTACCGCTTAGAATCTAACACAGATGAAGTGAAAGTACCATATAGCAGTAAGTTTTCAGCAACATGTGCAAATTGCTGGTTTGGGATTTTCTCCATCATAATTGATACAATTCATCTCCCTGTTGAAACGGTCAAGTTGCGCAGGTCTTTGTTCACGACTGTTGGATAGCATTTTTAAGCTTCGATCTTCTATTCTTATGTTCATGGGTTGAAGTAGTCAATTACGCATCAAGAATGCATGACGGTCAAAGAAGCCGAGACTCTGTCTTTAATTATCTTGTTTGGGGTCATATCTTTTCACGAAGACAAGAGAACATATCACTAAACGAGTTTTTCTTACAATGAATGATTCTGCTGAAAACACTGACAGATGAGATAGTACGCTACTTCAACATGCTCAGATTTCCAAAATAACCGACGTATGAAGTTCATGCATGCATGTGTCTCACAGATGTCCCATTCGATCCAGCTCTGAGCAGAGCCAGTGCAACATGTTCTCTCTTTTCTAAAGCTGATTCTGAGATGTGCTTATATATTTACAACTACTTTAGTATGACTCGATTGTATCTTCCTCAACTACTATGAGAGCGCTGCAGTCAGAGAATGCAATCATATCTCCTCCTGCAGAATCGGACCTGATATGCGCTCAATCCCTCGGTGTGGAGTCAAGAGATTCAGTGGAGAAAGCTCTGCCGACTCTCTACATGCTCGTGCACAGGCATATTTTTCGGGCAATGCCTCCTCCCGCTCCAAGCACTCCAACATTGATTCCGTGATGGGCATTCCGAGTCTACCAGCAATGAAATGTGGTCCTTGTCCGGCCGTAGTGCGCGAAATGACGTTGGAAGCGAAATTGAAGCGGAGTGGCACTGGAAATGGGAGTGTTGCGCTTGCCAAGGTCCAAGCTAAGCTGCCTTTCAGAGATTACGAGGATGAAGAAATTAGCTCCAGCATTGCTCCAAGACAAGAAGGATCGCAGTTCGACCGATACATCTCATCATCTCATTTCCCGGAACGTGAGCAACGGAGTCCTTCGATATACTGTCCTGTCTTCCTAGCTGGAAGAAGCCTTTTTGGCTTCAGCCATCAGTCTAGGACATGGTGCAAAGTATTTTCAAACGACTGCCTGCGACCTGCATCAGAGTTTGTCTCCCCTCGAGTGACGTTCGATGGGCGGTGGTTGATGCTGGTGTGGAAATCCATGTGTCCAGAAGGGCTGTTCATCTCCAACGGCCTCGTTGCCAATATATCAACTGGAGAATCTGAACGCATAGATTTTATTCCCACATCACTTCTGCTGGAAGAATCTCTGTCGGACGATCCAGGCGTTGACCCCTATGCAATTCGACTAGTTCAGAACTGCATCCATCAGATACAGATGTTATTTGTCACATTCTTCGAATCGTGGACGAGGATCTCCATTCATGGAGCACGATACGACCATGATGGAGTTCTACCTCACTGGGAATCGAGGGAGTGGCGGTGGCAGTCCGGTGATTATGAAACTCGGACCAGCTTTCTCGCTAGATGCAGTGCTTTCGTTGATGGAAATCTGATGTGCTTATGGCGTGCATCGGGATCGAGCAACTCGGGCCATTATCACCTGTGGAAAGTTGATATGGATAACGGAACCTTGGAGATGATGCTGCTTGAAGTCCCTCACAGTTGGATCTGCAGCGAAGAGGAGGATGAATCGTGGAGGCATATTTTACTTCCAAACGTGCAAGTGGAGACCGAAGCTTTGGAGTGCAGTGTGCTGATGTGCGCTTCAAAGCTTATGCTGGTCTTCTTGTTCCGAATCGGCCTTCCTCCGGACGAGGTTACACTGTCATATCGTGCTGCAGTCAGAATTCACGAGCTTGTGAATTTTGATAGCACCGCTATCAACCATCCACCATTCGTCTCGATGAGTCCTCTCATGATGATGCAAACCAACACTGAGTGTGAATATATGTCCACGACCTTTGCATCGGACGATGAATGCATCTACATTTGTCCAAACTATAACTCTGCGCATAGAGACAGAGTATCCTCGTACGAAGTCTCCACTGGGATATGGTCTCAACTTCCTTCAGCCAATCCACTAGATCTCGAGGACTGGCAATGTTGGGGAGAAACTGCATTGAGTTTCAATCCGTTGGTCGCTAGAAACAATGTATTGTAGATTTCCCGTTCATTTGGAGCCTGTCTCACGAACCTAACTCACGGGCTCTGTCTCGGGAGTCGGGAGCATGCACGCCTTTCGCCATGAAGCATTTCACGACGGGCCTCGTCGAAATCTCCTACCCTAATTCCCTCCTCTCTCTATTCCTTCCCTTTTGAGCGCCCAAATGCTTTGCAAATATGGGCTTGCGCGAGAGTTCCCTATGGCCGGCCGTTTTCATAAAGTATTGCACTTTGAATAGATTATTTCTTGCAAAGTCCCTATTTCTTATGGCAAAGTTGGAGTCTAAAAATAAAACTCCAGCTTTTACGAGGCCTGAATTAGTATCTTATTTTGAGTATGTACTTGGGGTGCTGTTGAATACAGTTGGTTCCATGAACATAATCTTATGGGATCTTTCCGGAACTCTCAAAACCTTGTGTATAGCCTTGCCTTCATTAGTCAATGTTTAAATTTGTTTGGACAACTCTCATAAAGTAATCACTTAGAAAATTCACCTGGTGATCATGTAAGCATGTTTGTTTTGATAAATGCGAATCTTTTCTTGGCTGGGACAGAAGTGCCAAGTACATTTAATACATTTGTTTCATTTTTTTACTTTCACATCAATTATATAGCATGTTTGTTCTCATCATTGTGAGTCTTTTCTTGGATAGATTAGAAAGTCCCAGGTACATTTCATATCTTTTTATCATTTATTTTCTTTCATATCATTTCTATAACATTTTTGCTTTGATCATTGTGCGTTTTTTTTTGTTAGAACAGAAAGGCTTAGGTAAACTTTATATCTTTCATACATTTTTTTCTTCTTTCATATCATATCTGTAGTATGTTTGTTTGGATCATTCTGAGTCTTTTAGCTTCTCCATCATCAAATCGGAGAAAGATAACTCCAGCACCTTTTCTGACGAGCCTTTCCTTGGGTTTAGAAATTCAAAACGCTTAAAATGATTATTGCCGAGACATCCTACAAAAAATCACAAAAATCACAATTTTAATGCCAAAAATGCCAGAATTGTGGAAAAATTTGCCAGAATTACCTTAAGTCTGGCAAACCTGGCATTTGCCAGATTTTAGGAGGTCTGATCTATTATCATACTTATTTGGCAGATAGTAATGTGTAAGGATTGATATTACAACTAGAGCCAATTGTGCATTTAGCAGTTTATGCTCTAGAATTTTTTATAGGTATATAGTCATATATAATGGCAGATGCTACAATCAGATACATTTGTGGAGCCAGCGCGGTTTGCCTTAAAATTGCTGTTAAGGCGATGAATGTGCTCAGAAATCTAGAACTCAAAGTTTTACTTTTTCAAAGTCAATTTTGTTCATCTCAAATACTTTTCAAGGATATTGTGCTTATCACAATAGCACAAAAGATATATCACAGTTCAGGTATATACGCTTTGATTCTCAAAAAATGTAAGTTTTTATGAGTGTGATAGACTTGTGTATGTTTATGAAAATACATAATGATGTTTGATGTGAAAGGAATGTATGTTAGAAAGTGATATGTACGGATACAACAAGCACATCTTTACCTAAGATGAAACATAGATCTTTACTTTGTTGTCGTTTATGTATCCGAATCTTCTCATACCCCGACAATCTTCTTACTTCGATTTTATGATTTTCTGTATAGAATGTGAATATATTTCTATTGACGTTGATCCTTCCAACCTAATCGTCAAAGTTACTTTGAAGAGCATTTAATATTTGGAACTCTAAACCCTTGAATCGAAAGAGCATTCATATTTGTTTTTGGTCCAACTGCACCGAGTGTGGCTTTTTTTCATGCAGATAGCCCCACAAAAAAAAACTAATTTTTTAACAATTCTTCTACAAAGTAGAAAAAACATATATCGTAAGAGCATAGTCTGGACTCTTGTGCCTATAATATAACATGTAGCACAATATTGGGGTGATCAAAACTTCATATGTCAACTACGCAAACACATATCAACTGCTTGACATAGATCAAGCACATGGGTGAAGAATCAAACTGTTAGCTCATGCTGATAGAACAATACTTACAACATTGGAGTCGTCATAACATCATGTATTGTGCAAGCTATGGATGAGAGGTACTATACATACGATTCGAGAGAAAGCTATGGACTATGTACTAGAACTACAAAAATATCTACACAATTGAAGTTACCATGAAGACATGTGTTGCTCTAATCATAAACAGATATTGCTTGATACATTGTGGGCTTTTGTACTAATGTAACGAAATATGACTACAAAATATTTCGTACAAAATATCTCGTACTCGAATGACAATAACTCAATCAACTCATCATACTTCCAATGAAAGTTAGGTTCAGTGATCGCTTAGGTTCATTTCTCAAATGCATGCACCTGTGCGCGGTCATGACCGAAGACTGTAATGTTTATGAGTTATCCATTTCTTTCTCCTTATGGACGATTTTTGTCCATGTTCGCTTGCTGCCCAATACGATTTATTTTTTCTTTGATTTTACATTATTTCCTCTGCAATTTCATTTCAACTCTGGATGTCAAACTTTTCTTTTACCGACACTGCCTTCTCCACACGAGCTCAGATGGTAACCTTCACAAGTTTCTATTTTCAATCGTATGCTGCTTGCATTTCTGAAACGTTACAGTTTGCATGTAAATCCTGCGAAATTAAATTGCTGGTAAAATAAAAAATTTTATACTAGTGAAGTTGATCACGGTTACAGGAAAAGACACTTTTCAACGACAAATAACTGCAGAGTTTGGTAAAAAAAAATTTCAGCAGAAGCAAAAATACTCAATTTTCATATTTTATTACGAAAAATTTTCAAAATTTTCAAAATTGTATCAATATTATCAACGAAATGTAAACTATTGCAATCATCAGAAGGTCATCTTTTGATTAGGAAATGGACTTAAAATGCTTGACATAGATTGTGAAATCAAGCATGAATGGATGTACTTTAAAGGTGTAAGTGCAGAAGTTGTTTAAATGTCAAAAAGTTTTGACTCCATGTTAGGTAGTATGCAAGAGCTTTAAGAGTAGATTTATAGCATGTAGTAGTATTAATGTGTTGAACCTTCGGTGAACAAACCTGTAATAGAAAGTAAAATATGTAGTATGATTGTATCTGCACACAATTTAAGCTTCGTAATCTAGTCATAATCAAAAGCCTTACTTTCAGAAGATTAGTTACTTTTAGCAGTCAGATTCCGGATCTTCAACTACTGGGCATATCTTCCACTGTTGTGAACTAATTTCATGTTATCCCTCCTGGCTTGTTCCTTATTCTAAGCTTGACTTAGCATTTGATACGAAGTAGATCAGTCTTCTTGTTAGTACTATGTTCTGAATATGGTGCAAATTGCATTACTTGTTTTGGCGAGTTCAGGCGTTTTTCCTGTGAAGATCAGAACAGCCGTATAACTGTTTTGCACGGCCTCAGCTGAGCTTGAGGTGTAAAGGCCAGCTAAGATCACAGTCGTAGGGTGCCACTCTTAATCTAGGCTGTCGTAAAATCAGACCTGGAAAGGTTTCCAATAATTCTTGAGGAAAGCCGCTTTGGATGTCATTTGCGGGTGTCTTAAAACTAGAAAATTGAAATAATAATTCTACATCACGTACCAGGAATTTGTGAAAGCAAACATTCCGACCTTTAACAAGTTTACGATATAAGCAAAAGGGCCTCTGGAATTGGTGTCGAAATATGCACTTAAAATTTTCAAATTAAATGAACGCAACAAATTAGATTATTCATTAGAATACCATGAGATAGCATTCTCCATTGGAGGTCGTAAGCAAGGAAGCGCAATCATCTTTCTATACTTAAGTCTAGCAACAAATTCATCTAGCGACAAGCAAAACATTTATGCACTTCAGGTAAAGGTTTCGATTACATCAAATATATATGAGCCAGAAGGAAGAGCACATCTTCATCTTCCGTGGATATGGTTTCAGGATTACAGCCTGAAACGTGTAATATCGAAATATACAAATATATACGTCTTTCACAGTGTATCACCGTCTAAATAAAAGAATGAAACAATCTTGGTGATCAGCTCCGAATTGCAACAGTCCACGTATCAAAGTGATATCCACTTTTACTCCACCCTGTAAACAACCTTCACGGTTAACTTTTCTGATTGCTGCGCTTGAGAAGATTCTGTGACTCCAGTTTGCTCTTGCAAATTCGTACCATTGTCGCGAGAATCTTCCTGCTCACATAAGGCAGCTGGATCGGTTCATCCGTGCCTAGAGTTTCGATCAAAGATTTGATCGCTTGAGATTGAGAAGCTGCTTCCTCCTCCAATTCAAAGATTTCTCCGTCTGAAGACATCAATCTGACCATGTTAACTTTCATCTCAGCATCCATAGTTTTGTTGTTATCGGCCGCCTTACGATCCATAGTGGTGTCCCTGGTGTGCGCAACCCAAGACAATTGGGGTGAAAGAATGCGGAACAGACCCTTGGCGCCTCCGGAAAATGAAGTGTGAAAACAGAACCTTCATGTATCGTTCTCATATATATACTAATCTTCAGAATATTTCGAAGTATATTCTGAATGTGTAAACTACTCTTCCGCGACAAGGATAGGTAGCACCGTTCAGAGCAGATTCTTTCCCTTCGCGCTGTGTTACGAGGCATAAAAATTTCCTTTCTGAGATGTATCGATCTGAGCTGCCGGTCTACTTTGAAGTTCTATTCTGACAACCAACAGAGGAACTCTAATGTCGTATCTGTTACTCTAGAGCGGTCGGCTCTTTTACTTCCACTTGTCTTTAAAGTCACGCAGATTCTGCGGATGACCACTGGTGTTCGAAGTCACGCAAATTTTGCAGCACACCTCGCTAGATCATTAGACAATCTAATCAGTTGTTTGCAGTATGACCATTTAATCTTGATCTCATAATCATGTCTCTCTGAATCAGCGTTGTTCATGTACCAGATTTTTACTACTTTGTGCACGGGGGAAATATCTACTTGATTGATCACCTGGATTTTTGAAGGTTTTGTGGCTCAGTATGCAGCACAGATTCGTTGTCTGTTCCTAATACGTCACAATGTTTTTACCTGATTCTTGCTATAATGAAATTTAATTGTAAAGCTCTAGGGCACGAGCCTCACTTCTCACAAAGATATCAAAAATATTGTTGATTCATTCTAGGTGTTGAATTTAGTTTCGCAGTCTTTGAATATTTCTTATCATTGCTCAGGATGGCTCACATGGATTGTGGCATGAAGTGCTTCCATATCACGGACTCTAAGATCTGTATTTTGAAAATTAGAGAACCAAACAAATTTGATCACTCAGACAATGAAGAGCGCGAAACCAGTCTGTCCAGCTTATATCCCCGTAACAATAATCTCTTCGGACCTCTTGATTCCTAATTCCATGTTCCATTCTGTTTAATATGTATTTGATCTGTTTTACATATTTCATCATACTCCTTACCTTCAAACTACGTTTTCATTCTCGGTAGGCTTTCATGCACACATCTTCCTAGATTTTTCATCGTGGGCTTGTCTCTTCATCGAGTGCTATTATGGTGCGTGATTCTCGTGACACTTTTTCATCTAATCGCACATAAATCTCTATCAAATATACACCTTCAAGAGCCCAACAGCGGCACTTTGTACACATTTGAATATTGATTGCATATGAAGAACTCGAGGAGGCCACTTCTTTATATTCCATGCTTCGTACAGTGCATTAGTTCTTGATACAGAAGAATAAATCCAAGGAACAAACGGCGCGACGGCGCGATGCAATTGATTCGACATCTCAAAGCTCTAATCACAAGAATTGTTCTCCGAGCTTGTTGATCTTGACTTGGTCTAATGAACAACTTGTTCGTGTCAGGTTGTTGACTGGACTGACTCGTGGGATATTCACTCGAGTATGTCGCCGATAAACGTCTAGTTAAGAGACTTGGCACTAGACTAAGGTCCAATCTACTGTACAGTTGTAGCAGTTTGTTGACCATACCATGTAAGGATAGTAGTTATGGCAATCGACTACGTTATCACGTAGTTCATGTCCTTTACAAATAATTGGCACCAACCCATCTACTAAGTTCATGTTACGTTCGGGATAGAAGGCACCCATCACCAAATTATTTTGACGAGGAAATTATTCGAAAATCTTATGCGTTGCAAGATTTCTTCGAATTCTGGACATTTGTTTGGACCTTTGCATCAGTATATATGATAGTGTGTATAATGAAAAGTTTATTTGGACAGTAAATAATACACTAACTCTCCGCAAAAGAAAGCTGAATGTCATAACTGCATCGCCAGTCACGCCAATCCGAGGCATTTGCCCGAAGAAGGGCATCAAAGCAACCACATGGGCATGCCTGCCATGCTGCATGTGCGACTATGCCAATTTCCTCTAGAAGCTAAAGAGAGCTCTTCCCCTTGGAAGTTGTCGTGCTTTCACTCCTTCGGAGCTGCTAGCTTTTTGCTCGGTACAAGAAACGTGAGATTTTGGGTTGAATACGGCGCGCAGGCGTGTCAGGTCATACGTTAGTGATGACCTGACATATTTAGGACTGGTGCCATTGTATCTTCTGTTGGAGATGGATGAGAATCTTTTTTGCCCTAATGATTAAGCACAACGTTTTACATCTTAAATGCAACACATAAAAAGGCATCACGTTGTGTAATAACCCACCAAAGGCTAAAACTGCAGTATGGTGGTAAAAAGATCGAACCCACAGGGACAGAGGCAACACACAGAGTAAAAGTGTCACGTTTAACAGACTTTTGGTAGAGTTTGAATTCTAGGCGACTGTCACTCCCAGAAATACTGTAGTGCTCGACTCGGAGGCTCGACTCGGAGGAGGAACTCAACTCGGAGGATGCTCGGAGGATGCACGGTACAGCTTGGTCACTCAACACACACAAACACACACACCTGAAACTGGCAAAAAGCACAACTCGGAGGTCGGTCAGGACCTCCGCTTCGGATTTCAGGAGGAAAGTGTCTCGTAAGTTCACTCAGAGGTTCTGCAGGAAGTGCCTCCCACTCCGGCTTTTACTGCCCTTCCGCCAGGAACTAGCGGGGGTACCCGGACTGGACTTCTCACTTCGGAACGAAGCCTCTACGTACGCCGTGGACGTCACCCTCGACTATCACACAAAACGCAGGGAGTGCAGACCCGACTGAGAACTTACTGAAAACACGATCCAGTAACACACACACAACCTGAATTACAAACCAAGGTTTACACGAAGTAATGAAACTTCACATTGGCATTCAGGGGAAACTTCCCGTAGGAGTACAATCAGGATATGTCACTCGAAGGAGTAAGGGGGAACTGTTCAAGTATCTAACTCGCAGCCGGCTCTGAGTATCAGAAATCACCCGCAGGTGCAGATCCGCACTACTCAAGTCTCTAACCGGGTGCGAGCTCTGAACATTCAGCCGAAGGCCTTCAACTACAACATACGGTAACTTCGCTATGCTGCAGCTTCTCTACGTGGTGCCAGGACCAAAATGCACAAACACGCCAAGAAAGTGAGTTCCTGATCTGTACTTCCGAAACTGGAAGAGTCCCAAGGCAAAACGCCTTGATCTACTTTATACTCTCAAAAGATCCTAACTAGCACTACGCTATCCTATCTACCACTCGCAGTATCTGCGCGAAACCAAACTACTCTACTGCACTCAGCAGATCCGGTGCTGCGCCTCCTGCGCGCCGGACTGCTCCGCTTACTGTCTCTACCTTGCCAGTCTTCCGACCGGCTGCGTAACCCCAGGCGTCGGAGCGCTGCAGTGACTTCCGACTGCAAGTGCGCCATAGTGTCGCGCGCACCCGACAAGAAAGTTTCTAATTTTCTCGCCACTCGCCGCCGACTCCGACTGTCACCTTCCGTCAATGCCGCCGCCCGAAGCTCGAACTCCCGGAGTGTAACCCTCTCTTGAGCTGCCACCTCCCAATGGGTGTATCCGTTTAGACAACGAGTCACCCGTGCCGCCAACTCTTCTCGTGCCCTGCAGCTGCTCTCCACCTCTGCCAGCTGCATTTCTAAATCCGCACGTTGTGCCCTCAAATCCGAGCACTCGGTTTGCAAGTTGCACAACAACTCCTCATCCTCCTTGCGGGCTCGTTGACTTTCCTCTAAGGCGCGCGTCTGGCGCGCAAGCTCGGCTGCTAGGACTTTGTTCTGTCTCCGCTCCTCCTGCAGTTCCGACTCGATCTTTGCCCGTATTAGTTCGGCCTCCGCCTGACTCTTCGTCGCCGCATCCTCCTTCTGCTGCTGCAAGGCTTGGTACAGCTTCTGGGTGACCGCCAGGTGTTGTCGGAGGGCGGTGTTCCTATCCACATATACTCCGCATCTAGAGGCCCACCTTGCCACCTTGCTCCTCGTCCTTCGCCTGATTGTCTCCACATAAGACTGCGGTTTTAAGGCACTTGCGTATTTGGATGTCTTGCGATCCAGATATCGCAGGAGTGGAACTATCTGTTCGCACAGCACCCCTGTTGGCGTTTTCTGCACCGAATCCTCTTCTTGCTCTTCCGAGCTCGTCTCATCCTCAGTCTCGAGGATCTCAGTTGCCACCGAATCCCTTGGCGACTCCCTGGAACTGTGGCGCGCAGCAGCTTCTGCTGCGACTGCTGCTCCACTGCCTGCTAAAATATCCAGGGCAGTGGGAGATCCCACTGCTTGAGCCCCTGTTCCGGCTCGATCTTCGGTTTGTGAAGGGGTCGACGCCGCAGTGACTTTTGTCACTCTTGCACCGCCCGCTTTTGCTGCCTGTCCTTCCGGCGCAATCTGCGCGGAAGGTGTCCTTGCTGAAGGTGCGTCCGCCGAAGGCGTCCGCATACTGGTCGTTGGCCCCATCCGTCTCGCAGTCGGCGAATCCGGCTGACTCTCTGTTGTCCGACTCGCAGTCGGCCGACCAGCAGTTGTCCGACTGGGAGTCGGATACACCCTGCGCGTCTTGACTCCACTTGGCCTGTTTGCTGGTGGCGTTCTTCCAGAAGTGCCTTCCGCCGAAGACGACCCTCTGAGGATTGTTGGCTCGTCAGCCAAACTCTCTTCCGCTTCCGGCCTGCTGTCCGGTTCAACGCGCCGTTCAGTTGGCCTTCCTTCCGTCTGTCGACCTTCAGTCATCCGACTCGCAGTCGGCCGGTCGTCAGTCCGTCCATCTCCTCCCGAAGGCCGTGGTGCCTTCTGTGCAGAGGTTTCTGCCGTCTTCCCTAGGACCTGAGCAATTATCTCTTCCTGCGTGAGATTCCGCCGGGTCGGAGTTCGCCTGGTCTCCTCAGTAACAGTTGGCATTCTGCGTGCCCTCTGTTTTGGTCGACTATGAGGCTCGGGGGTGGGCCGACCACGAGTCGGCGCAGCTGGTACTTCCGGCTGCCTGTCCTCAGGTCTCTCATCCCACTTCCGCTTGCGCGGAATGCGCTCACTTCGCCGTTCTTCTGCTGCTCTGGCTGGAGCCGGAGCCGGAGGCGTACTGGCAGGTTCCTCGTCCGGATCCGTGTCTACTTCGGCCTCCCTCGAATATCTACCTGGATAAGACCGACTCAGCTGCGGAAACCGAGTTTTCTCAGCATTCGTCA